GTATTTCATTATGAACTTGCAAAGCACAAATAAAACTTTTTAATATGAAAATACCCGTCGGAGGCGCCATGTTAAGCCGATGTTAAGTAACGGCTTACTCAATGGACAATCCTGCCTTACGAAAAGGCTACAGCATTTCATAGTCTTTAGTAGTGATTTTCTGTTATAAAATGCTTGTACTAGCACACAAACGTTTTAACGCATTGAAAACATTGAATTTAATCATATCTTTTATCTACATTTTTAATTTGTTTTTCATTTTTTAAGAATGACCACGGGGCTTAGCTCATTGGTCAGCTTGCTCGCTGTTCATGACGCGACCCCGGGTTCGATTCCCGGTCGGACATGATTATTGTGTGAAATTTCCGTACAATCTTCCAGTATATGTTGCTGTATGACAATGAGAAAACTCACTACTCAGTTTGAGAAGACCTGATTACGGGCTAGGACTCTTCGTGGTAACCACACATACCACACACATACATATAACCCAAGGTCGGGACGCTGGTAGGCCCTGGCCTGTTCGCGGAGTATCGGGCCAAGAATAGTGACGGAACTTTGCTCCACACATACAAATTCAGACTTTCTCCATTTTTTCACATTGATTTCTTCATTTTTGAGTGCGAGGCAAAATGTTATTTTACTTTCATATGAAAATGGTGGTGAACTTTCCTTTAAATTTTCTACCTCCAGCTCTCGGTTTGAAGCATTGACTTTCTGAAGCGAAATCATAATGTTAAACTCTCTTGAGGCTTGAATGCAATTGCGTTTCGAGAGCATCACCTACAATATTTGAATCACCAGGTTAAACTGTTGCATGGTAATTGGATATTCCGGGAACCCATTACTCGTCTGCTGACCAGGTGAACATTGTGCGTGGAATTCTGAAGGCAAAAATGTTCGAAATATCTGCATGTTAATGTGTGTGACTATTTTTGGTTCGCAGGTACATTTACAGAATGTGTTTTGAGATCAGTGCATTCGATGTCGCATATGAATGTTATACAATGTATTGTTATTGAAGCTCCGCTTTTATCTTTTGTGCACGGCTTTTATCTTTTGTCCGCTTCAGTAGTTTTATTAGCGATCGTGCATTGTCCGATATATTTCGAGTATTAACAAAAAACGATTGTATGCAATGTATTTGACCAGTGAGGTTTTCAGTAGAGAAAAATATGACATCAATCAATATGTCACCAGGGCTTTCCTTTGCCAAAATACAATTCCCTTTCCATGTTGCCCTCTACTGTACTGTCAGAGCATTTTGGTAGGTTCCTGCCTGATTTTACTCCCTAACGAAACAGATATGCGTTAATTTATAACCGAAACATGAGTCTTCACAGTTCACTACACTAAAAAGATTTTTAGATGAATTGTCAAAATGGTTGAATTTTAAAATTCTTAGTTTTATGTAAAATCATTCTTCTTGATTTCACTTTAAAAACATATTAGCGGGTATCATTATCTTCCTGTTGGCAGATATGGCCAAATTTTAAGATGACTTTACAGTTTACAGCATTTGAGCACGTGTTCAATTCTTAGTAATATTTTCTCCTCAGAAAAATTCCTACGTCCTTGATAGCGTTCTCATGCATGCTTGGACAACGTCACTGACATGCTTGCATGCGTGCATTTCCATCAATGCCCTTTTGGCTTCTCATGCCATTAGCGGTTCTGCCATGCTCCTATTCACCCTTCTGAGAGCCTTGCTGCGGCAGTGCATAGAGAATCCATTGAGCCACCGTTCGTGAATTTTTATAGCCCCTGAAAAAGAGCGTGTGCGCGCGCGTGTGTGTGAATGTGTGATTTTCTTCTCTCGTCAGGCGTACGTAGAGCCGCTTTTCAAGCGCTCTCCATTTGCGCTGTAATCCATAACCCCTCTCTATTAGGAGTCGAACTGTCAAACACCAATGATACGATCTCGGATCTGTTTTTGAGTCCTTTGACATGGAACTTTCTCTCTGTTTCTCCTGCATATAATTGAGAATCAGGCAACTAATCTTACACTCAGCACATCCTATTTCACATACGAATATTCCTTCCCTTTTCCCGGAAGCCGATGGATTTGAGTAGCTGGGAAACCTTAACAAAGTGGAAATAATTTTGTCCCACAATTTTTTCCTGTTCCGCGAGGCGACTAAAACCAGCAGCTGTTCGTTCATGTCGTCTTCCCATTCGTCTTTCACGCAAATTATTGCTTCATTACCCTCAGGTCTAATGATTCCTTCTTTTTCGTATAAGATTTTTTCTTCATATCTGCTTCTCCATTCTTCTCCCCCTTCATGTTTCCTAATTATTAAAGTACATTTGTTACTCAGTAACAAGGTCAAAACTCGATACTCTGTACGTCTGCGGAACATATATCCGAGGTTCCAGGGTGGTAAATATTAGATGATAATGATGATGAGTGTCGCAAGCAGGGTTTTTGCATGATGTGGAGATGTACTAGGTGTAGTCGCCAATCGAGAGAATTCTTCATTTATGACGAATTTAAAATATATTTTTATTTGTTGATTTATAAACCAATATATTATATTTTATTTATACCCTTTTCAATTGAAAAAAAGATATATTTTCGTTACTAAAAAAATTAGTAACAACTATACTTATAAATGTGTTGTCGGCAACTGGAAAAGGATTTGAAATCTAATGGATCTCCCTCTTCTTGGCTGCATCATAAATGATGCACGGTGTCACCTATGCCTAGGACGTTTGAGGTTGTCGCTTGTGGGCACCTGGGACGCTTGTGGGCTTGTGGGACCTGTGGCGAACTGACGTATTCATGCGCCGTAACTAGCAACTTCTGTCTGCCCGAGCTTTTCATCGTCACACAGCTACAGGACGTAAGATGGGTTTACACAAAAGCTACAACTCTATTTTTTGCCTCGATCGGGAATCGAACCCGGGATCACACAACGGGAATCTAGTATGCGGCCCATGAATTATCGTAGAGAACGCAAAAGGTGACGATATTAAACGTTTTTTTCTCGTATTTTAATCGTTCTTCTCCTTCTCTATCCATTCGTGGAACTATTCACTTCTCTTTGGACCATCCTCGGACCGAGGTGCCGGCCGTTTCGTTGGCGTGCGGCCGGCCACTTGTCGCGTGCGGCCGCAGCAGCCTCGGGGCGCGAGCCTCGCGGCCCGGTGCTTGGGCGGCTGGCGCGCCGCGCGCGGAC